TGAAAATGCGTGTACTGACCCAAGTCTAGCTCGATTAGACAAATTTGGGTAACGTTTGTTTATACCCAATTCACAAATTTATATAACACACATGCCTAGTTACTATGGTTCTAGATTACAAAAGCATAAAATAGAACAAAGGTAACTAATTCTTATTGTTATATAGTCTTATAACTCTTATTGTTAGTTAGTGTCAAAGTTCAATTTTTCTATTTGCCGATTGTCAAAACCGTGTCACGTGCCGGTCCACAAAACCTCATGTTCGGCAACCGGTTAACCTGAAGTTCAGGCCCTAATCACAGAATAGGGCCTCACACAAAACCTATCTAAACTGTGGGATTCCCGTCCACCTGGTGGACGGGAAATCTGATTGGTTGATCAGCATCACGAAGGATTTTGATTGGTTGCAAGTTCACATAAACAACAGTTTTTAAAAATAGCTCGGTCAAGGGCTCAAGGCGAGAAAGGGCTTCATCAAAATCTTTGACAAATTTTGGACACACACAACGCTGAAAGAACAGCCAAACTAGTCATGTATTCGAAAGCTTGTTGTTGACAGCCAAGATGTTCTGTCAACTGGCTTCGCCGGCAAAAGTCTTATTTTTAATATAAGGTCCTACCGGCGTTGTTTTCTGAGCTACATCGCCTTCTTCGTGGTACGATTGAGAATTAAATTGTTGCTGTTGTTAGCCCGTTAGTCGTTAGAGTTAAATAGAGTATATCCGCGTCCAGCAAGTTGAGACCTTGAGAAAGCTTGGCAGCAAGCCGTACACAGAACTGACTAATTAAATCTTTGTTTGCTGTTCGGTTAAATAGAGAAACTGACTCTTAATTATATAAAAGTACCTTGAATTTTTAAGTTTAATTAAAAAGCAAAATGCACTCTCTGCGGACATGTTCATGAGAATATAATTTTTTTTGTGTAACGAAATCTACAACACTTGTCAATCACATTGCATGTGTGTCTAAAAATAACATGTGGGCGTCCCACGATCTAGACGGGTTTTGTGTCAGGCCCTAATTCAAATTAGGGCCTGAACTTCAGGTTAGCAACCGCCCGCAATGAAACATTTATTGACCAGTCAATAATAAAATGGGTGCAATACGCATGCGTGTCAACCGCGAAGTTTCAAAGTTCATTTTTTAAACTTTTTATTTACGGCGTTCCATTTATCCAGTTTTGGTTTCAAATTAAGTTCACTCCAATAATCGGTGAATTATTCATACTTTAACACTTATATACTATCTATAAGTGGCTCTGGTCCACAAAACACACTGTTTCCCTCGATCTCAGTAAATATAAAGTGATAATACATAAGTTTAATGTTTAGTTACTTTTGTTCTATTCAGTCTATGCTTCTGTAAACTAGCCGTAACAGTAACTAGGCATGTGAGTTATCCAAAGCTGTGAATTGGGTAGCAACGATGTAAACAACGTTAGCCAAATTTGTCTGCTGGCTTCATTTTTATATAAGTCTATCCACTGATCTCATATGGACAGGATAAACCCATTTGAAAACGAAACTGATCTAATAACAGACTGGATAGTCATGTTTGTCAGCTGTTCCTGGGTGGGTAAAAGTGCCCTGCTCTGGCAAGTATAATTTCACTCTCGTTGATGGTAAGCCTCGTGAGGTGACAACTGCTGGGGTGAGTACAAATGTCTGCATTACACTCCCCAATTTGTGCAACTTTCTGTATTCCCCGGCTTTTTCCACATGCGAAATTCCCCAGGCCAGCAAAAGAACAGTTCTTTTCCATGACTCAAGCATGCACAAAGTAAAAATAGGAGCTGCTATGAAAAATAACTGGCAAGCTAGTGTTGCAGTTCAGCATGAGCTCCACCTTTGAATTTACTATACGAGTAAATTCTTAAACACGTCCGAAATTATCATTATGATAAATTCGCAGCACATTTTGAATTTATCATAATAATAAATTCGCGGCACTAGCCCTTAACCACTAATCCCCTTATCCTAACCAGTAATCCCTAACTCCTAACCCCAACTTTTTTAATTAACCGTTTTAAATTTTTTTAACTTTTTAAAAAATCTAACTTTTTAAACTTTTTTGCTTTTTAAAACTCTTTTAAAACTTTTTAAAAACTATTTTTTTGAAAATCTCTGTCTCTTACTGCAGTATTTCTGTTATTGTAGCGGACTAGCGGTTAACAAATTATAGGGAAATACGACGACATAAGTTAAATTTCAAAACTTTTATGTGTTCATATGCAGTGAATCAAACGAAAAATGCATCCTTTGTTACAATCATTTAAAATATTACAAAAATAAAAAAACAACTAAATTTTATTGCCATATTTCTCTATAATTCGGCAACCGCTACAATAATGCCAAAGTTAAAACAAAAATAGTAAATGACAACAGACTACAAAAGCGGAAGTGGGAAGGTTGTAGTATTTTGACTGCAATTATGTACAAAAATATGTTGCATCCATGCTGCAAGAATTAATGTCCGACCTTTCCGGCAAAATTTCCATTTGCAGGGACAGAAAAAGATGACGAGACGAGTCGAATAAAAAAGTTAAAGCACCGAACACTTTTTATATACAGCCAGAGATACTAACAGCTTTGAAATTTGCTACAACCACAGAGAGTACTGCCCGATTATACCTCAAAAAGATATTTAACAGTTTTGAAATTATTCATGCGAATAAGCCAAGAATGGTTAAGGTTGTATTTTTAATGTTTTTATGTTGTGAATTAGAACCTGGATACGAAACCAGCTTATTTAACTTTTTAATTATTACTAGTGTCGCTGATCAGCGAACACGCGAATGTAAACAAACAGCTAAAAATAGACCCAATTTGGAGATTTATAACTTTTCAGAAAATTGCTTGCAGACGAGTTTTATTCCTGATTACTTAATTTTAGTAGGTATACTTTCAAATTACATGCCTTTTGAACTTCAGATAGGTGCCACTTTTGAGCTATTTTAAGTAAAATATGAGCAATTTTAAGCCTGTCGTCGAGATCTTGAAAACATAGTTTCGTAAAACTATACAAAAAATCGTATTAAGCAAATAAAGTTGTTCAATCTCCATGTAAACGAGAGTATTAGTGTTAATCTTGCATGTGAATAGTAACTGGAGGGGATAAACGCATCACAACATTTTTAAAAAATCAGATGAATTCTTGTAAAATTCCCCTTCATTTCCGGTTTGAAAATATTCTCGCAAGGTCAAATTTTAACATGGCTATAACTCCTATAAAACAGAAAGTTGAAACGTTCTGAAAGAAGCTCGATTAATATTGACCAAAGTCTAGTTCATATGCAAAATATGAGCTAAATCTATTTTCCCTTCCCCAAACCAGTGGGTGGATTTTACTGAGAGGCCCTCTTAAGTCAACAGCGTGCTGTTTCTTTGTTGCAAGTAGCGACAGGATAGATCAGAAAATATCCTGGATCATCAAATGATGCTTCTTCAGCACAAGTTGCGAGTCCAAATGTAATTTCTCAAAGCGAATTGCATGCTACTAAATACATCATCTGGCAGCACTGCGGTCAATACATCAAATCCAGAAAGAGTGTTGGGGAATTTTAGAAATCTTTATGCGCCGTATGGGCATACTGGTCGCCGATGTCTAAGTTCCTCAACACAGTTGTTTCCAATACGTCTACAACACTTATATTTCTGTCTTGTTGACTTAACTTGCCTTCGCCTTCGGTCATGGTGGAATTACAATTTCCCGCTAAACCGGAAGTCGAGTTTTGGTTTCTGTGTGCCATGCCGAACCGGAAGTCGAATTTTGGTTTCTGAGTGCCATGCCGAATGACTGTTTCACGCCGAATGAAATTTCAATAATGACTGTTTCACGCCGAATGAAATTTCAATAATGACTGTTTCACGCCGAATGAAATTCGAATAACATAATATCGAATATCATAATAGCATAACTGAACTTCATAAATGCAATTTCCAATTGCATAATTGAATATATGAATTTTGGCGGATATCACACCTCATATCAAACAACCGTGCTCGAGGAGTTCAAAGAACAGTTGACCTGGAGAGAAGATGGAAAATACGAGACAGCACTACCATGGAAAGCTAGTCATCCCAAATTACCAACCAACATCAACTTTGCGCGTCCGAGATTTCAGTCACTACTGAAGCAGGGACGTAGCCAGACCTGAAAAAGGGGGGGGGGGAGCCTTGAGGCCAGGCTAAAGGTATAGTAGTCAGGGACGCAGGAACGATAATAAGGCAAAGGGGGGCAGGCACCCACCAAGGGCACTTCTATAAAGCAAAAGTTCAAAATCTACCGGAAAAATTTTTTATGGAAATATTTTGGGCGACCTTTCCCCCCCCCCCCGTCGCCAAAAAATCGGTCAGTGTACCATTTTAGGGGTCGAAAATTTTTTCCGGACATACCAAACTTTGCCGTTAAGTTAAACATTTTTCCTAAATTCCAAAAATTTTAGAACATTTTAATAAATTAAACTCATTCGTTACCAAATTCACAATTATTTTTGTTAATTTCCAAAGGGGGGGGGGGGAGCCGCGGCTCCCACGACTCCCCCCTGGCTACGTCCCTGTACTGAAGCGACTGGATAAACAGCCTGCCTTACTTAAGACATATCATCAAATAATCGAAGACCAAGTGGAACAGGGAATTGTAGAGATTGCACCAACAGAACCAAACGAGAAGCACGAACATTACATTCCACATAAACATGTCGTTCGGGAACAAGCTGAATCAAAAAAAGTTCGTATTGCCCTCCACTTCAGCGAAAGTTGTTAGATATTCTTTTGCGAAACCGAGTTAAACCTGTGCTATTTGCTGGAGATATAAAGCAAGCGTTTCTTCAGATCGTTATCAGGGAAACCGAACGTGACGCTTTTACGTTCCTGTGGATAAATCGTAAATAACTTGCACACCAGAGAAGAGAAGATCTACCGCATGACAAGACTTATATTTGGTCTGGGTCCAAGTGTTCATCTAGAGAAGTAATCACAAGATCATCCGATTTGTGTTAGAGAGCTTAAAGATGGTACATACGTGGACGACATAAACATTGCAAGCGACACAGTGGAAGGAACGAGAGACATCAAAGAAGATGCTGTGAAAATCCTGCGAGAAGGTAGGTTCATGTTACATAACGCCGCAGAATTAGAAAGTGATGTAAAGAAGGATGGAGAAACTACCTATGCGAAGGAAAGTCTAGGGACAACACCATCAGAGACTAAATTTCTTGGATTAGGCTGGAACAAATCAGAAGACACCTTGTCAGTAACATTTCCACCAAACGAAAATGAAATTACGAAAAGAATCGTTCTGAGAACTATGGCGAAAATCTATGATCCGCTGGGATTAGCAGCTCCTATTCTACTCACGGCCAAAATGATCTTACGAGATATCTGTGATTCTAAGCTGGGATGGGATGCAGATCTACCTGAAGTGCTAAAGCGACGATGGGAGAAATGGTTGAAGAATTTACCTGTCCAGTTGAAAATGCCAAGAGCAATACCTAGAGAAATCGGTGTGATTGTCGAATTGATTCTTCATGGATTCGCAGATGCGAGCCTTCTTGGTTGTTGCGCTGTGATCTCGCTGTTATCAAGCAAGCTGGAGTGATTAGTCAAGGGTTCCTGATTTCGAAAACAAGATTGGCCAAACGGGACTTGACAATTCCGCGTCTGGAGTTAGTGAGTTGCCACATGCTAAGTAACCTCCTACACAACACATTCAAAGTTCTTAGTCATATACACATTGCTGGTATATTCGCATGGTCTGATTCTACTGCCTGTCTTCAATGGATCCAAGTTCAGGGAAGATATAAACAATTCGTGGCCAATCTTGTAGAGAAAATAAATGAGAAGGAAGAAATCGTTTGGAAATATGTACCTAGTAAAGAGAATCCTGCGGATATCGGTAGTCGGGGATCAAGTGACTTGGAAACTAATGAAATGTGGATGAGCGGTCCTTCATGGCTGAACAATTCCGACAGCTGGCCAGAACAGATTGTTGCTAAACCTTCTGATGTGTCGGAGGCCGAAAGTCGCACACATTCAAGACCGTGATGAAAGCTACTGTTCAAGAAAATCAGGTGTCTTTGACGACCTTTTAGCGAAAACAGCCCTGTGGAAAACTGTGCGGATTTTGGCATGGATCAAAAGATTTGCTGTCAATTGTCGAAGAAGTAAAAGAATCAGCGAACCACTAACGACTGAAGAGACTGAGGAACAATTGAAATTTCTGATTAAACGAGCCCAAGAGGACGATGAAAATTCTGTTCAATTCAAAGAACATTCTCAACGATTGAATCTCCAGAAAAATGAAGAGGGAATTTACGTGTGTAAGGGGAGAATTCAAGGGTTTTATCCAATTTACTTGCCATCAAATCACCTCCTATCTCTGAAGATTGTCGAACGTGCACATCTTTACACTCTTCACGGCGGGGTTGGGCTAACCATGGGTAAAGTACGCGACGATTATTGGATCCCTACATTGCGAAGTCTTGTGACGAAAGTTATTGGCAAATGCCATGGGTGTAAACGATTTTACACAACGCCGATGCCCGCTCCATCTCAGGGGAATCTTCCAAAAGAACAAACTGAAGGTGAAATCCCCTTCGAAGTAACTGGTGTCGATTATGCCGGACCAATCTATTACAAGGGAAATGGGGGAACTGATCGTAAGTCGTATATAGTCATCTATACCTGCAGTTTAACTAGACGACTTCACTTGGAGATTCTGCCAAACATGAGTTGTGAAGAGTTCCTGATGAGTTTAAAAGATTTCTTGCAGCAAGAGGTCGTCCGAAGAAGATCATATCCGACAATGGAAAGAGTTTCGTGGCTGCTGCTCCAAATGGATCAAGAAATTCGTACGGAACGAAAAGTTACAAGGCTATCTGAGTGAACATGGTGTGAAATGGCAGTTCAATCTAAGCAAAGCTAGCTGGTGAGGTGGAATGTTCGAACGAATGGTTAGCATAGTGAAACAAGCTCTTTACAAGGTCGTAGGATCGGCAAAACATACCTTCAACGAATTGAAAGACGTGATGCTAGATATCCAGCACGTATTGAACAATCGACCACTATCGTACTGCGAGGACGACATTCAACTTCCCGTGTTGACGCATAACATGATGACCTTCGGTAAAGCCAATTATCTTATGGAGTTATCACCTGAGGATATAGAAGAACGAGACCTGCGAAAGAGGGCGAAATATTTGAAGAAATGTAAGGACGCGTTGTGGCAACGATGGAAACGAGAATACATGAGAGCACTTCGCGAAAGGCATAATTTAACACATGACGGGAAAGAGAGAGAGCTAAGAAAGGGTGATGTTATGTTGATCAAAGGTGATGAAAAGAATCGTAGACTGTGGAAAATTGGGACTGTTGAACAACTTATACCCGGAAGAGACGGAGTGGTTCGTGGAGTTAAACTACGTGCAGGAAAATCATTCATGGAAAGACCAATACAATTTCTTTACCCTTTGGAATTGCATTGTGAATTTGTGATAGAGAAAGCAATCAAGAAACTGTTCCATTGAATCCTGCTGCAAAGGAGTTCAAACCAAAGCGTAGAGCGGATGTCGATGCAAGAAAGAATATTGAACTAATTTATGAACAGGAAGAGGAAGAACTTTGATAGGTAGAGACGGTGAAACACGTGTAGACGTTCGTGTGTATATAAGACAGTAAGTTTATATTTAAAACTTACGTTTCTAAATAGAGGGAGTGTGTCGGGAAATAGGTTGACATTACGTAATTAATAGTTAAATTTAGAGATGAGGTGACTACCATATATGGAATTGATTGACAGGCATGAGATAAAAGGAATGTTGTAATTGCAAGGGAATATATGTAACTGTGGGCGATTTTGGGAAGGGATTTTAATACAAAACACAAGATATAACGCGTAATTTGCTCTTATTGTGGGGATCAAACGAAAATCTACCACATAATTATGAGATTTACATACGATTTTAGATCATATCCAGATAAAATTGTTTGTGGTAAAAGATAAGATCTTTGAGATTTTCTTTGTCAATATTCTTCTCAAAGAAATGTTCGCATCATTTTTCTCGGCGATCTCTCAGCGACGTGATGTTAGTCGTGATCCGGCAGCGTTTCGTCATACTTTTGCGATGGAAGGATGATTCTCAACGCACGTTTTTGTATTTTTTCAATATCTTCACATAAATATATATATATATATATATATATATATATATATATATATATATATATATATATATATATATATATATATATATATACAGTGTTGTAACGAGTCGAGTCATTGACTCTGACTCGAGTCAACTCGAGTCGCTATTTTCAACGACTCGACTCGAGTCCAATACGAAAAATGACTCGACTCGAGTCAATAGCCCCAAATGACTCGACTCGGACTCCACTTGCTGATTTTGCCGTAAATGACTCGAGTCAACTCAGCTACAACTTGTACACAGTAAATTCATCACAATTATTGTGATTGTATTGCTTGGGAAGAACAATGAGCCCTGTAAACAATGAGAACTTTGAAACTTTATCAGAAAATATATGGGATTTGCATAGAATATATTCCTGACGGGCATACCTATATTACAGTTCTGTTTTTAGAAACAACGCTAGTGCCACAGTTTTTAAAATTGAGTCTCAAAATTTTTGTACTTATACTAATTCTGACAGGCTATTTTCATTTTTGGTATTTATGAAGGGCTATATAATTTGAAATTGACTTACAAAGCGTTGTTAATTAAAGTCTATTCTTTGTTAATTCTGACTCCAGTTGCAAGTTTTGCTAGTTGTATGTACGTACACTCGATCAGCAGGCATGATGAGACATCTCATGTGGTTGTACTTAATATTGACTGGAACTGTGATATTGGCACAGCCTATAG